TCATTTCTTTTTTAATTTAAGAGTACTATTCAATAAGAGCTCAGTTAAGATTATTATTCAATCTCCATGTGTTTGTGTTGTTTATATTACTTTCCTTCCCATTGCTTTCTAGTATCTTCCAATTATAATCTGATAGGATACATGGGATTACATCAACAGTTTTTGTATTTGTTAAAGTTTGTCTTTACAATATTCAAGAATACGAAGAAAAATAAATGTTGTCAACAATGTGGGGGCAAATTTATACTCATACATTGCAGTCCCATTGCTGTTGCAGTCACTCTGGAAAGCACTATGGAGATGCCTTAGAAAACTCTGACTAAAACCACCATTTGCTCTTGTTATCCAGCTCCTCATTTTGTACCCAAAGGACCTAAAATATCATACTACAGTGATGCAGTCACATCAATGTTTACAGAAGCTCAATTCAAAATAGCTAAACCATGGAACCAACCAGGTTCCCTTCAACAGATGAATGGATATAGAAAATTGGTAAATATGCAAAATAGAATACTACTCAGCCATAAAGAAGAATGAAATTATGGCACTTGCCAGTAAATGGATGAAACTGGAGTATATCAAGTTAAATTAAATAATCTGATTCCAAAATCCAAAGGCTGATTGTTTTCTCTGATATGTGGATGTTAATCCACAATAAGGCAGGGGGGTGGTTAGGCAAGAATAAAAGTTCTTTGGATTAGACAAAGGGGAATAAAGAGAAGGCAGGGGAATGATCCTGCTGATACTATTCAAGTTTCTCAAGGGGTAAGGTCATTCATTTAATGAATACTCATTCAATGACAAAAACACACTGAGCCACAGAAAGTATGAACATAGCTGCTATAGCCAAGGTGTTAAAGGCTTGGTCTCCAGCCCAAGATGCTATTGGGTAGAGGTGGAATCTTTAAGAGGTGAGGCCTAGTAAAAGGAAGTTAGGTCAACGGGTGAGCTCTTGTAGGGAATTTGGGACCTTGGCCCCTTCTTGTCTCTCTCTTCTCTATCCAGCTGTCATGATGTGAGCAACTTACTCTGACATACATTCCTGGCCATGAAGTACTGTTCTGCCATAGCCTCCAAGTGACAGGGTCAAGTAGCCATGGTCAGAGCCTAATTAAATATTTTCTTCTTATAGCTGTCAGTTATTAAATCCTTTCTATGGGCCAAGTACTGCTCTTAGAGCTTCATGTTAGTCTTTTGTGTATAATTTATTTAATCTTCACCACAACTTAAGAAGATAATATCATCGTCCCCATTCCACAAAAGAAAAAAAAAGAGTACAGAAAGGATAACAAGTCTGTCAAAGTCACACAGTGGATCAGTGATAAAAGTGGAATTCCAATCCTAGTAGTTGTAGCTTGATTCTTAGTCAATCTATATATCTGCCTCCCAATGCCTACCTCATAGGGTTAGAAAATATATAAGTGAGACAACCTATTAAGAAGCTGAATTTCTTTGAAGAAGCCACATCTATATTTTCAACTAATTTTTATTGATGCATTATAATTATACATAATAATGGAATCCATTGTGACATAATTATACATGCATATAACATAAATCAGTCAATTTTATTCCCCAGTGCCACATCTTTATTAAAGATCATGCAGACTGACCTCAGCTGAGAACATCCTGTTTCTGGAGAGATGGCAAATTGTAGGTTGAGAGACAAAATTAGCTTGGGGTACATTGGGGCCTTTTAAAAAAAGTCATTTACTTTAACTTTTGTATCTGACCTAACATTCTCCTATTAGGTAAACCTCTTAGAATGTATTAATAGCTTAATAGACCTCTAGCCTGCACCAACTCTAAATCTAAGAAGGCTGTAAGAGTCAATACCTATAGTAAAAACTTTCCCTCTTTGCTACAGCTCACCTACCTACTTTCCCCACCAATTTATTTCTTAAACATATTGCTCAATGACTTTTGTTTTTTGGCTATAAAATAGTTCATGTAACCTCTTCCACATCAAAACAAATCATTCAGGCAACTTGAATCCATGTTCCTGTGCCACTCATACTTGGTTCAAGCTATTTTATTTTCTTTAAAGCCAAGTGTTGTTTCATATCATCATTTACAATGGAGACAGATGATGATGGTTCCTTAACAATGTGAATGTATATACTTAAAATACCACTGAATTATATACTCAAAAATGGCTAAAATCATACAGTATGTACATTTTAGAATAAAAATTTAAAAAGATATGCATTTAAATAAAAGAACATAGAGAAGTACTCTTATGGATATACACCAAAGAGTTGTCAATGGTTATCTCTAGATGTTGAAGGAAGTGATTTTACTTTCTTTTTTATAAATGTTTTGATATTGTAAAATAAACATTTGGTTTTCATCCCATTTCCTGACACACATCTCCTAAAATCCATAGAATCTTTGAAGTGATAAATGAATAGTGATTTTTTATATGCTAAAGACTGACAAAGGAAATATATAAGTGAGGCATATATTTCCATGTGGCCTGATGGTAAATTTGGCTAATGATTTAATATATCATGCCTGTATTAGCAGAGTCTCCATAAAAACTTGAAAAGAAAGGATTTGGACAGTCTGAGAGCTGAAAGCACGGAGGTTCTTAGACGGTGGCACACCTATACCTCATTCTATGTACCTCTTTATCTGGATTCTTTCTGATAACTTATTTTTTTATTGTTTTGGTGAAAACTTTTATAATAAGCTGGTAAATGTTTCCCTTAATTCTGTAAATGCTCTACCAAATTAATAAAGGAGGGAATTGCTAGGTAAACCAAATTAATAGCTGGTTGGTCATAACTGACCTAAACTGGTACCTGAATAGGGGAAAGTCTTAGGGGGCTACGTGTTCAACCTATGAGACCTGTTGCTACTCCCAAGGAAACAGTGTCAAAAATAAATTGGATTAAAGGACACCCAGCCAGTGTCTCTTTCTGCAGCTTACTTGATGGGTGAGGAATCTCCCTTCCCTGCCACTCCTAGTATCATAAAAATGTTGTAAGAGTATAATGGAAATAAACTGGCTTTTACTATTCATATGTTTTTATTATTCTCTGAAATCTCTACCAAGAGTATTCAATATATGACAAGAAAAATAATTTATTGACATATGGAAGAAATACAAGAAATGATCTTTGTCCTCAAAGAATTTACAATGCAAATAACGCACAAGGAAAATGCATTAAATAATTTGAACAATGAAAGACAGCTATGTAGGGGTTGTGGGTATAGCTCAACAGTAGAATTTGTGCTGATGTGCAAGAGTCCTGGGGTTTGATCTCTAGCACTGCAACAAAACAAAACTGCAGCACAGGCAGGATCATATGCCATCTTCTAGTTCAATCTTTATTTCAGAGAAAAGGAAAATGAGATCAAGTGTAACCAAGACCTGAGATTACATGCTTTACCAGTGGCAGTAGCAAGACCATAATTTAAGTATTCCAGTTGCGAATCCAGCACTCTCTCTGGTCCTAAATATCCTGAGGATATGGAGGTACAGTAGTGTTTGACCTACACACAGGAATGAAGAAGGTTCTGAGCAGGAGAGCAACTTGGCCCCATTGGAACAGAATGGAAAAGGCTTAACGAAAACAGACAATGGTGGATCCTGGCTATAGTCTCAGAAGATCAAACTCCACCATGTTTTTGAGTCCATAAATAATGCAATATTGCTAAAATGCTTCAGATCAGGTAGCTGGGTCTGTCTGTACTTGAATGAACTTGGGTACTTGACTAATTTAAGCCTCAGTTCCTCATATGTCTATAAAATGGGTTCAGGGCCACATCTTAAACACATGGACCTTTGAGGACCATATTATATAGGAGATAATTGATCCAAATTTATAGGGGATAACTGCCATGTTGCTGTGAGAATGAGAAATATCAAATGCAAAACCCTCAGAACATTCCCTAGCATATTGGATACTCAAGAAATACCAACTGCTAGAGTTAGATGAATGCAAGTAGAGAAAGTACCAGTATTTTCTAGGTCCTAGAAACATTATATAATTAAAAAAATATGATGCTGGGGATAAACCTAGGATCTTATTAAAAAGCTAGGCAAGCAATGTACACCACGTCCTTACCAATTTCTATCCATAAAATTAATACTATTATTAATATAGTATCATTCAACTGCTGTAATAACCACACACAGAGCAATTGGTTTGTGCCCACCCCTTATATAAACACTTTTCATGTACTAACTCAAGTAATCTTCTCATCTATTCTAGGAGGTAGGCATAGCTGTTATTTTGATTTCTTAAGTGAGGAAACTGAGGCACTGAGAGGTGGAGTTATTTGCCCAAAGCCCACAAACATAACAAAGGAATTGAGTTAAAATGTGGCTGTCTGTCTTGAGGACCCCACTCCTCAACCATAGCATGTGCTGGTTCTCTATCACCAACATCTCACAAGATCCTCATGGAAACCTCCTGCAGCTTCCTGAGGAGCATCCTCTTTGTCTTCAGAGAAAAAGACCTCTCAAACTGTATGCCCTGTAACATGGCTATTTTTTGTTCACAGGTTATGTCACCTGGATGGGGTGCCTCCTTCAGTTGCCCAGCACAGAAATGAAAATGGTAGGTCAAGATCAGTTTTTGTATGCAAAGCACTTGCTCAGAATGGAAATTTTTTTAAAAAATAGCATTTTGCCAAGGGAAGGGAGGAAGAGAAGAATGAATGAAGAAGAGAGGGCCAGAAAGGAATTTCAGCAGGTTTGCATGTTTGTTCAGTCCCTAGTGTTACATACTTGTGGCAAGTATTCCTATCAAACTAGTAATCACACAATAGATTGACATTAATGAACAAAAACACGTTTAACAAGAAAAAAGTGAACATTAGAAGCAGGAGTATGGGCAGTATTCCTTACAGAATCCACCACCACCTGTGAGGATGGAGCAGCTCCCCCAAGATCAAAGGACTTGTGCTCTGAATTCTAGTGAAGGTTGTATTGTAAATGGGAGAGGGAAAATCCATCCACTAAGAATAGCGATGGCAATGAGCAAGCTCACCTGGGACTTTGCTTCTCTTTGCTCAATAGTCATGTCCTTTTTCTGGGCACTTGCCCCAGAGTAGGTGCAGTCTCCAGGAGGTGGATCTAAGAAAAGAAAAAGAAACCACAAGAAAGCCCCCTTTGCTTTCCATCCCTCAAAATCAGGAGCTCTAAATTTTTTCACCACAAGTGACCACAGAGGGAAGTCAGAAAGATCTGGGAGTGCACAAAACTGGAGAAAATAACTGGGGTCGTCCTGGACAAGGGCCCCACTCTTTGTGGCTATGTAGCTTTCCAGAAGCAAACTCAGGAGGACATGCGATTCCATCAGCAGTGGCAGGCACCAACAGCCTTACACTGTTCAATCCCACAGAGTCAGCTGGCATTGCTCCATTCCATTTTGTAGAAATGGAAAACTGAGGACAGAATGCACCAGTTCACAAAGCCAGTGACAATGGCACCAAGATTCCTGTCCCTGAGCATCTGCTCTAATCTCACTGTGCACCTTGCAATTTTTCTCCAAAATTGCCACCCAAATTCCTCTGCCTCCTGTCAAGGAATCGATTCCCAGATTTTAGAGAAAGCTGTTCCATAAAAGAAAAACAGTAGCTTTCCAATGGAGGGAAGGGGATCAGGCACAGAAACCAAAGACCTGGGTACTAATCCTGATTGTGCCATCAGAGAGCCAGCACCTCTCTCCTCAGTGAGACAGGTCACTACGCCCGCCACTGCAAGTGCTGAAGCCATAGGGAAGAAACTCATTTTCTCACACGTTCTACTGAGTCCCGCAGCAAAACAAACAGCAGCAGGACACAGCAAGGTAGGGTAGGGCAGGGCAGGTACTGTAGACAGACCTGGGAAATCAGGAGACCGGCCTGCTGCAAACCCGGGATAACTGCACAACCCGACACACCTGAGACGATATCGTGGGATGGCTAGCGGGGACTGGTGACAGGTCCTGGGGTGTCGCCCTGATCAAAAAAGCTTCTCCACACACCTTAGGGGCCATTTCCCCACTCCGGACGCAGCATTCTCCAGAGGCCCAGATCCGCCTCCCACCGTCCTCTGCTGCTCACCTCCCCTGGCCTGGGGCACCCGGGGCGACACCTCGCTGGGCAGGGCTCCGCAAGCTGGAGGTTCCGGAACAGCCCCGTCCGCCAGCAGCCTGGCGTGGGAATCTAGTCAGCGACCGATCTCAGACCTTTGAATAAGCGCACGCAGCAGCGGACACTCAGTGGCCCCGAAGGTCTACAAGGCCAGAGCAGGGTGGAACACGATTGGCCGCTAGTTCGTCTGGGAAATGTAGTCCACTGGAGACTCCAGGATTCTGGGAAGTGTAGTTCTCCGCATTTGAGAGGCAATGCCCCGGGCTGAACCTATCTGGTGCCCAGACCCCAGTTGAGGGCTCCCTTTAGTAGAGCTGGGCTTTGCTGACGCCCTCCATGAGCAACGTGGAATCTTGGATTCCAGGAAATGACAAGTTCATCTAAGTCAGTATCTAGTACTCTTCTTTTGTGTGAATGCTGGAACATAATTATACAGCATTTTAGAGGAAAATCCAAAGAAGAAAATGGTTGGAGGTATCTGGGACGATTTGGTAGATCGAATAGGATAGATGGGGCAGGTGGGAACGGAGCAAAGATTCTGAGGTAGTGAGGGAAGTAGGAAATGAAAGGCTTCGACTCAGGTACTGAGAAGCCATCAGATGATTTTATTTTCAAGTAAATTGTTGTTTCCAATTACAAAACCCCGCGCAATGGCACATGGCTTTGTTCCTAGCTACTCCAGAGAGTGAGGCAGGAGAATTGCCAGTTCCAGGCCAGCAGGAGCAACATAGTAAACTACATCAGGCTTTTTTAAAAAGCTGCTTGCAGACCCTCATAAATTAATCCATGCATAATTCCCTCCTTGTGGAAATTGCAGCTCTATTAGGGCAGTATATGGTAGTAATAGTAGGGATACCAAATTATAGCTAATTCATAATTATCTTAGTATCATCTAGAACTGATATTTTTCTGAATGTTATCTGAGAATGTGCAGGATCAAATTCAGCAGAGGTTGAATTACCTGTTTCTATACTATTAGGGTAATACAGAAACAGTTCCCCAAAGGAGGGTTGTCCCCTTTTGGTTGGTGAAATGATGTTGAGGAGGAGAGGTACACACATGTACAGTTACAGAAGAAGAGACAAAACCTGTAGTTGTTCAGAGAGGCTGTGGCTCACACCAATTAAGTTAGGGTAGTTGTCATTCTCTACACTTGATAATTAAGTCCTCCTGAGCTCCTCTACTTGCAGGAGCAGATATCAAATAGGAAGAGTCAAAGATTTGTGTACAACATGTATTTATTGCTCTCAACCACACACAATTATTTTATAATTGGTTTTCTAGGTAAAAAAAAGCTATTCCTTACATATCAAATATGTGAATACATGGTTACATGAAGTATGTATGATTTAAAAATAGTAAACTACATCAGGCTTTTTTTAAAAGCTATTTGCAAATATCTATTATCTTCCAGAAAAATCCATCTGCTTATGTGAATCTAAACAAGGCATTCTTAGAAGTACAGAGTAGAATGGCAATTTCAGTGCTTGGGCAAGGGGGAAATGGAGAGATGTTGCTCAAAAGGTACAAAATTTCAGATATGAAGAATAAATAATCTCTGATAACATATCACGCATTATGGTGACTATAATAACAACACTGTACTATATACTTGCTATGTACTAAGACAGTAATCTTAACTGTCTGACCAAAGAAAAGAAAGAGAGAAAGAAAAGAAAGGAAGAAAGAATTACACAGGGCATAAGGTGATGGCTACACTAATTCGCTTAACAAGGGCAAACGTTTCACCATGTATACATATTTCAAAACATCTAGTTGTATACTTTAAATATATATAATTTTATTTGTCAATTACACCTCAATAAATCCAGAGAATAAAATAAAATATTTTAGAAATATTCAAAACAAAGCCAAGAGGACATTTTCATGGATTCAGAAAGTGAATAGAGGGCTGGGAATGAAGCTCAGCTGTAGAGCATTTGCCTAGCAGGTATGAGGCCACAGATATCATGTCCATCATAATAGGATAAAAGAGTGAACATTCTCTTAAATATTTGACATTTATTGATGTGAAAAAACATTTATCCTTTTTGTGTTAAACTAATAAGCAAAGACTTATTGGTAATTATTTCACAAGGAAAGAACATTTCCAGAAAATAAGACACAACTTTTAACTACCACCTTTTACTTGTTTTATAACAGTTTAAAAAATACTTCTTGGCATTCACATTACAATCACAATGCACATTTAAATAAGCATGCCAACTAAGTAAATGCTTGACTTTCTTAATTTTGATTTTTCACACAGTAAAAACCCATAGGAATTTAACAATTACAGAAGAGCGTAACATACAGGTCATGTTACAGTACACAAGAGCTGGTCCTAGAGGGCCACTTCCATCCGAGTCAATGTAGTAGAGCATAAAAAATTTCTGCTATTCTTATAGGCTTCACATGACCACTCCTACAGAGCTGCAAAGAAGACACAGTGTCACAGAGGGGCTGAAGGTATGTGACACTCTGTGTTGCTCATGAAGTGGGACTTTTCTCCCATGAGGCTCATACTGCATTGTTCTTTGTCACATCTTTTCTAGGGCAGTGACCTTCCATCTGAATTATGCATCAGGAAGATTCAGAGGCACAGAGTGAAAGATTTGGGGAAATCACTCTGAATCAGAATACTACACATCCTTATTTTCAAAATCAAGCAAACTAGACTTATTCTAGTCTAGTTGAAGGATCTCAAGTGCATTGGCTTAACCTGCCTAAATGCTGCCATTAACTAATTATGCTGATTTTTTAAAACTTTACTGTTTATACCTTTTGCTCACTTAAAACAATTTATATGTAAGACATATTTTTTCAATGAGTTGAATTGTACACATCAACATCTCTTCATGCCATTTTTAAGTTCATTTTTAAAAGACATGTCTTAAATGCTTTGCAAATGATTATCAAGAAAACTGAAATTTAAAAAATATTGATGTCTATTTTTAATTTAATTTATCCTAATTCAGAACTGACTTTTTAAATTGTACAACAAATTATTTGATATGTACAAGGGAAGTTATTAAATATTCAGATGCTGAACCTAACTGATATTTAGCATAATTTTATATAAATAGTGAACCTATGACATTTCTTGTGTGGGTCACACATTCCCTTGATGGGAAAACACTTTGAAAGCCTCAAATGCAGGCCATAGCTGCCAGGAAAGAAATGCAAAAGTATCATATGAGGTGTCCACACAGACAGACTTGAGTAGTTTTTATGCAAGGGAGACTAAGACAAGTGATCATAGTAGGACCAAGTATACAAATTTAGGCCATTCCACAGTGACTGCACTCTCTCTGTATGTATGTGTGAGTATGTATACACACACACACACACACACAAATATATATATATATATATATATCCACAAACACATAGACATACATACATAGTATGTATTTATATAATGCTGTGTACATTTATATGTATTCATATATGTATGTGTGTATATTATATATTACATATATGTAATATTATATATATATATATATATATCCCTATTCATTTCAAATAGTTAAGAATGACCCGAGGATGTGTATGGAAATTATTTTTCTCTCATTTCACAGAATAAGAACAAATAAATGTCTGCTTAGTTCAAGGATATTAAAAATAAATTGTTTATAAACATGGTCAAACATCCAATGTGTCAAATCAGAGGCCTCCAAATCAAGAGTGCAACTAGTACCATTTCAAACTAATGAAAGTATAGACAACATGAATTATTTTCCCATCATGCTTGGATTTTGGACACTTACATTTGAATTTCTATAAATAAACAAACATGCTAATAATGAGGAAAATATCCCATATTTGGGCTGGGGCTCAAATTAACTTAGAAGAATAAAGAAAGAGGAATAATGATTAGAAAAATAATAATATAAATGAGAGTGTGCATATAATTAACTTTATACTTTGAACCCCAATCCTGTCCTTTATCCCCTCAAAGAATAATGATGCTGGGCTGGAGTTGTGACTCAGTGGTAGAGCACTTGCCTAGCATGTGTGAGGCACTGGGTTCAATTCTAAGTACCACATATAACTAAACAAAATAAAGTCAATTGATGAGTAAAAAAAAATAATAATAATGGTGCCATGTTCACTTGGTTTTTATTTGGAAATATCCAACTTTTTTTTGGTATGCCCTTAGAAGAATTACAATGAAATTAATTCAGTAAATAAACCAAAAAATGGGCCACAGGGAGAAGACCCTTTATATTTATCAATCAAGTTGTTTTTTCCTCAGTGTTACTTAAAATTATGTTTAGATCACAGCTATGCCGGGTTTCTGTTCTCGCGACTAAAAGGCTCAGGGGTCACTCTAGTTAAACTGGGCTAACTGGGCTGCATGAAATAACCACACAAGAGACACAAATACCTTTTTCTTTGGGGTCGCTGTGAGGGCTCTTCTGACCTTAAGGGTCTGCAGAAAGAGAGAGAGAGCACGTGCTGACCCCTTTTATTGAGGAGAAGCTATTCAAATGAGGCAAGGGGTCAGGTTTCAGGGGGCTGAGTCTATCTTCATGATGTCCACTGTCAGCAGGTTGACTGACACCTGGGTAGGCCACACCCAAGGGCACAGTAAGAGGAGGGGACACACACAATGCACTTCCATGGAAGATTCTATCCTAAACGGGACAAGGGATTAGATTACAAAGGAACAGGTGAGCATAGCTTCACCCATGGGGCTGTAGCAAGACACACCCACTTCTGTGACTGAGCGCCTCAGCACCCAGCTGGGGAGTGTAACTCAGTCACCCCTAAGGTTGGCCTCCCACACAGCTACTGATAACAAACATATTTAGTAACTATTTGCTTTGTCTAAGACACTTTCTAGTGTGATAGGAGAGGATGTAAGTAAAAGAATCTCAGTCCTAACTTTGCAACTGCGGCCAAACCTTTGGCTCAAGGTTTCCAAGATCAGATTCCAATCCCTTTTAAATGAGGAGTTCTTTAGCAAATTCTTACCTAGCAATGTAAAATTAAATGGAGATACAAATGGAACTGATCACTAGATATGTAGGGGTGTGAGTCACCTTCTTTAGCTTCTCTGTGGAACTTACACATCTGGAAACCCAGGGGTCTCATTCCAAACCCACACTAGCTCCCTAGGATTAAGTTCCTGCAAA